ACCACAACAACAACAACAACAACAACAACAAACAACAACAACAAAAACTGCAACAATAACAACAACAACAACAACAACAACGACAACAACAAGAAACACCAGAAGAAGATATACCCTGCTGAAGGGTAGTATGTCGTGTTTTATAAAGTAAATGAAGACACCCTGTGCCGCCCTCACATCACAAATCTCCGACAAACAGTTAAAATGTTCCAAGCCCATACAGCATGGCAACATTTTACTGCAGACAGAAAAAAAGCGTGATTCATTCTTTTAATAATAGGTCGCTTTTACGTACAAGGGAGCTATCCCCAAAAAAAGCTGTTTTGAGAAAATCGAAAGTAAACTTTTTGCCCCTTGTTCAGTTTCTTTAAAACACAAGGAGAGTTTTCTCTCTAACCAAACAAATATACACAAAAAAGAAACCAAACTTCTCCTATTGGAAGGGCAGTGTCCACTTTTAGTGTAGGTCAAGAATTCTGAAACCCCCGAAATCTGGGTTTGTCCGCTTGTCCATAAAGCGATCATTTGTTCCTACATTATGTGTTTTTCCTTGCTTACTTTAACGTTTTTAATTTAAAATTCTACAAAGTTCTCCTCTATCATTTGCAACCGATACCATAGATGAGCCCTTTCACTGCGGAAACGTTTTCATCCACTTTGTACAAAAGAGATATTGTTTATTCACGAGATTTAAACAAAGCCGTAATGCTGTATATTATGCCCCTTTATTTTAAGAACAAGCAACTACGCAAGCTATAATTACTACTTTTTCCTCTTTTGGTCAGAGGAAAACAATGGCAGTCAACTTGCTTTGGAAACACAAGCGAGCACATACCTTTACCCAGTAGTGAAGAGGTTAGGAAACTGTACTTTAAAGAATTAAAATTGAGGACAGCACGTTAGGCTGGCAGACGATATAAACTTTTTAAAGCCTTTGAGAATGATCCTTCAAACACCTTTTTTACACTAAACACGCAATGTAGTATTCGAGACTGCCTTTTAGAAATATGAGTCGAATGCGGATCAAAATGATGCCCAATTTGATCTCAAATTCCCCCCAAATTACCGACAATATATTATTTGATTTACAGTTTACAGAAAACAATTTGACGCGACAACATCACGGGCCCCGGCCAAAGTGGTGTTCTGGAGCGCCCGCCTTGGCTATTTCCCTGGCCATGTGTTATTTCCCCTTTCCGTGCTTTGATAAATGTTTGTCTTGTGTGTTTATGCGTGCTCGGGTCAGGAAACTTCCATAGTGATGATCATAACAATAATGATAATAATAGAAATAATGATATAGACATTTCTATTACGCTAAACTCCGACAAAAGTGCAAAGGCTCTGAGAGCTTTAGAAATACAATAGCTACACATAAACTTTGTGTTCTGACGATTAAACTATTAAAAAATATATAAACATATCTTATTAATCTAGAGACAGTAAATGTTGTTCCCGCATCCGATTCGGACATTGAGGATTATCTTGTTAGTGAGACAACTTCCTGGGCCTTCGGCATATTGTGGTAGGGTGGTCAGTTCCTTTCCACACCGCCTGTACTTCTCCAACTCGAAGTCAGGTACCCATTACTGCTGGGTGGGCAGGAGGGGGTGAAAAAAAATCGTGTCCGAACCGAGGCTCGAACCCGGACTTTCCGTTTCGGAGACCGCTTAAATCTCTAGAAATATAATATAAACTATCTCAATAATCTAATCACAGAAGTGGTTTTAGCTGCTGACTTTTGACTGATTTTTAGTTGATCATTTTGATTGTACACTTTATGTCTTAGCACCCCCCCGGGACACCACGTACCCTTCTACCCCCCCCGCACCCAACTCCATTCCCCCTCCCTTTCCTCCCCCATTTAGCCCTCCACCCCGCCCCCCTCTATTCCACCCCACCCAACTCCATCCCCACCCCCTCACATTCCCCACCTCACCCCAACCTCCCCTTTCTTCCCCCATCCCCTCATCCTAAGCAAAGGCCAGTCATTATCTTCGACCATGGGTCACCACAAACGTTTCATTCATCGATTCTACCAACCACAGAACGACACAGAGTAGGACAGAGCAGTGCCGAATTATTGCGCTGTCTCCTATTTTTACGTCACTACCTCCACGAGAACCAAAAAAAAAAAAAAAAAGAAGGCAAAAGTAAAGACCTCCACGAGAACCCATTTCCCAACCAGTCACAATTTCCTACAGAGATATTATTTCCCGCTTACCCGTCACCTCACGTGACCTTGTAGTACACGTAAGGAGGGAATTAAAGCCAACCCTCCCCCCCCCCCCCCAAAAAAAAATATATAAAAAATCTTCAATTAATAATAGGCGTTTTTATGCCCCCATCGACACAATTTCGATCATATAGGAGGCGGGAGTTGACCCTGCCTCTCCGGAGTCAGTCCAGGCTAAGAAGGATGGCACCTTCCCAGTAGAAAAACCGAGGTTTTCGATAAACACGTCTCCTCTTTTGGGAATCGAACGCCTGTCCCCTGCATGATACAGCAAAGGGCCTAACCGCTACACTACGTACGCCGGTATTTTATGCTTTTGTAAGTGTTTTATGGCACTTGCAACACATCATCATCATCATTGCCCTTCTCACCCTGCACCAGGGTATAGGCGACGGACAAACACTTTCCACCCTTCTCTATCCTGGGCTAGCCTCTTGATGTTATTCCAACTTGCTACACAATAAGGTTTTATATAAGCGCCGAAGATTAGAGGTGTTGCTAGAGAGTAACAAACATAAAAGATAAGGATGATTGATGTTTGATAGGAAAGATGGAGCAAGCCACACCAAAGCACCAACAAACCACCCACGCCGGTATTTTGAACGAAAATATGGAAACGAAAGCAAGACTGCTCGCGCTTTGGTCAATAAAACTCTTGTAGCTTAAACCATTTAAATGTTGATAGCAGTCATTTCGATTAATGTCAAACCGACATCCTTCGTAATCGTGGCCATGGATGTGAGTCGTCGAAAAGATGCCCAGTTGTTCTGATCCCGGAAAGAAAAATGTTTCTAGAGAGACAAAATGCTGTTTCATTTATTTTATAAAAATTGTACCCATGTTATGTCTGTTGTTTTCCTTTTTTCAACTTTTAAAATTTGAATTTTGACAGAATATATCTTGAGGATATGCAACTGATACAGGATATTAGGGAACTGCAATTTGAACATTACAATTTTTGGCTAAGTAGATTTGATCAGCTGGCTGTAGAAATTTATGGCTTTTTGTCACCTCAAACATTCACGTTTTCCCGATGTTAGCGACATATTGTTCGAAATGATGTTTTCACATTTTGGTAAGAGTTTTACATACGGGGCTT